TGCTTCAGCATTTCGTTTTGTTTTGTTTGTTTATACACAGCTAACATAAAATCGTAATTATTTCCTATTTCGTTCTTTAGTATATCACACCATGCAAAATTATAATATTTCAAACCAGTTTATTAAATATAGTGTTATGGTATACAACTGGATATACGTTGATCAGGAGAAACTTTGGTATTAAGTAAAAGGCATCGTCAGGATGCAGTGTGTAACTGTACTTGAAGTACTATTCTACACTCTTCTGACATGTGGTGATCAGAAGAAACTTTGGTATTAAGTAAAAGGCATCGTCAGCAGAAGTGTGTAACTGTACTTGAAGTACTATTTTACACTCTTTTCACGCGTGTTGATCAGTAAAGAATGGTGTAAATAGTTATTATCAGCCTTGTAGTAATGTAATACACAGGGTTGGGTATGTTATACGATTTGGTATATAAAAATCAGCAAGTCACGTGACAAACACGGCAGATAAAGAGTCGTGGTAGAATGGCTTTAGAGTTATGAACAGTCTTGGCCAAAATGTTTACATATTTTGTAACAAATAAAATCATTATTACTAAAATTAAATACAAATACACTTATATGTTTATTATGTCCAAATACAAAATCTATTGTTTCTTACAGATTAGAAAGTCAAATTACCGATATTGACAAGCTAGAATATAAAATAAGCTTCTCCTATTTGCTGAGATATCGTTATTTAGTGAATCAAACACAGTGGCCCCGCCTACCTCTTTCCATTTTTGGAAACATTTGCTTACGTAGACCTACTTCTGTCTATGACGTGTGAATAACCAATCAAAAGCTTAGAATGTCCCCATGTGGTTCTCTGAGCCTTTGTGGAGAAACCTTTTCTTTTCATGGTAGATTGGAATTGGTGAGGTAGGACATTATTGAGCTCAAAAAGTCATATTTGTTTAGACTCAAATACAGCTAAGCTACTAAGCCTGATAAATTATAGTGAAATTCTGTAGTATTTATATAGTAATTTACGATTTTTTGTTATTTCAAAATGCATATATAAAACCTAAAAAAATATTATGTCTTACATTCTTCACGTGCGAAATTTGATAAGGCTTAACAAATTACGACAAGTAGTGAACGAGTACAAAGTTCGTAACTAGAAGATATAATTGTTTTCTATACTTCTTTATTTACTGTTCTATGTTTTAAGAAAATAACTGAAATTTAAGGACTTATTTGTAAATAGTAATAATGTATATACATATATAATGTATTATAACCGAAATGTGACTGTATGTTACAAAATACTGGTCCACTAGAACACAGCCAAGACAGATCACTTTGTAAAGGCCAGTTTTATAGTATTGGATATTGTAACATGAGTGCATGTGCACTGCGTCATTAAATTTCTGTAACGTTAGTCAGACACTGTTGAAAGGTTAGTAAAATTAAAATAATAAATTTTTATATATGTAAAATGCTATGAGATTTAAGCTATTTAGACTAAACATTTGTGCTCTTGTGTTATAATTTGTAGTAATTATAGAACGAAAAAAGCGCATTATATCTATTTCCTTATTTTTTATGGTTAAGTGGTCAGTAGAATAGATCAAACCCATACATAGGTACAATAGTGAAAATAACATATTTAATATAATTTTTCTAAAAAACGTTTAATAATTATCTGGAGGATATTGGGAGGTTATAGAGATTTTGCATGTGAAATTTGATAATTTTCTGCTACATAAAAGTATTTTTAATCTAAAATCAAAATTATTTCGCATGTTGGGTAGTTAATATTCGAAAATAAAAAATTGCACGAGCAAATAATTAATTAAAAATGTCAAAACTTAATTTAAAAAATTTGATACTTTGGCATGAATGCCTTGTAATATTTACTGGTAATCTCCAAAATTCCGTGACGATACGTGTGCATTTTAAAAAGTTAGAGTATAACTGCTTTATGGTTACTTTCGGAAATACGGGCTGTGTGGAATCCATCCATCCGTATTAGAAGGGATAAATAGCGTCTCTAACCTTATATCAGTTTATATTAAGCATTCATTACTTATTTTGTTTTCCTTGTTCTCCAATAACCTGCACAATGCGACATGGCATGTTGTCGATAAGGTTATTGATGTAATCCACCATGATTTCATCCCAACTTGTCGTTGGAAGGCACTGCAACTCTGCTACAGTAGCTGATTTAATGTCGTGGTTAACAATTTTCCGACTCAGTTCTGCCCAACAGTTTTCAATGAGATTATAATCTGGAGACTTTGCTGGACATGACAATCTTGTAACGTCCTCCAGGTCACGATAATCCTGTACAATATGCATGCTGTGAGCAGTGGCATTGTCATCGTGGAACACGAAACTATTGCCAAACCTTGCCCTAGCATATGGCAGAAATATCATCTCTATGTGATGCTTGTAGGAGGTGTCATTGACGTTTTCCTGGAAGATATGAAGAGCAGTTTTTCCACAATGATGAATAGCTGCCCAAACATATACTGCACCACCTCCCGTGTGTTCACTGTGAGAAAGATAGTCTTCCTTCATCTGTTCTTCAGGCAAACAATGAACACTAATCCTACCAAATCCTACCATAAGCTTTAATAAGCTGGAAACTAGACTCGTCTACAGAGGTGACATGTCATCAGTGTCCTAACTGTAAGTTCGCATGGTGTCTTTCCCAATAAAATAGTGACAGTGGTTAATATCGGTTTGCAGATAGCTCTTCCTGCAAAATAACCTTGTTTGGTCTGTCTTATATTCATTGTTCTTCAAGATACCTTGCAGTGAATGTATTTATGTCATTTCTATCATAAGATGTTTCAAGACTTCTTTGACTTTGACGTGTTAATCTGATCGAAACCCAGCCATCTCAAGCAGTAGCTTTTCAGCTTCTACAAGCGATGACGTTTCATGATTCTGGATACAGTACATTGGGGTACATTACTGTTCTGGCAAGGTCCGTTTGCTTCATACCATTTCTGGACAGTCGAACAATCGGACGCCCTACAATTTTTGCCACGTGGCGAAGCATGACTCTACACCACATACAGAGATATTGTCTGAACAAGGCGTTGATCTGTTTCGAAAAAATATTCTACCAATAGCACACCATTTATACAAAACAGGCGTTTATGTGTGTTTTGAAGAACAAATGGTTAAAACAACTTCAGACCGAAATAATAACTCGTGCATGTTTGTCCGATCATACGCTACCTCCTCTCTTACTATTCAGGCATTTACTTAATACCTTCTCCATGCATGTAAACAATAACATCATTATAGAACAGTGTGCAAACATTTTAGCCAAGACTGTACAATATATTTCTAAAAATTATGATGTCATCCCACTGCTTTATAGTTGGAAATTATTTGGAAGAACGAACTTATTCAAGTCTAACAAAATATATTGCTAATGGCTATTTAGAAAGTACTTGGGGAAGCAATATACATCTGCAGGAGGAGGATAAAACTGAAATCTGAAAATTTGAAAAACAAAAATAGTCCAGAAGTTTAATGAGGCACAATTAGTAGGCAAAAAATTACAAAGGCAATTCTCTCAAATCAGAGACGAACTGCCTTCTTCGAACGTTCAAACGAAGCTCTTTTGATTTGACTGTTGTTAAGTGCAAAGCTGCGCAATGGGCTATCTGTACTCTGTCCACCACAGGCATAGAAGCACGAATTTAACGTTGTAAACCACTGGGAGGCGAATGTCTCTTGAAAAGCACCAAAACCGAACAAGAAGTCTTACATGTAGCATCACCAATATTTCTGTTTCATTCAACGCTGCCATATTGGATGTCAAAACTCTCATTCAAGCAGCCACAAAGTATCCTCTAAACACAAGGACAAGCAGGACACAATGCAGCTATTCCATGAAAGAGAATATAGGTTCTTTATCCGGTCAAGCTACAAAAAGTAACACCTCAAACTGCAAATTTATCACGTGACATCAACTGGATTAAGTGTTTCAAGATTAGAACTTAGTCACAGTTTGTGAAATTTGCGAATTCTCTGAGTAATAAATACGTATACTATTGGTGAGTAATATCTATATTATTTGCATAGTACAGGTAAAAAGGTTTGAATTTCGCGCAAAGATACACGAGGGCTATCTGTCCCTAATTTAGCAGTGTAAGACTAGAGGGAAGGAAGCTAGTTATCATCACCAATCTTTTGGATCACTTTTTTATCAACGAATAGTGGGATAGACCGTAACATTATACCGCCCCTACGGTTGAAAGGGGCCGATATGTTTGATGGACGGGGATTTGAACCCGCGACTCTCAGGTTGTGACTCAAGCGCCCTAACCACCTGGCCATGCCGGACTAAGGTATAAATAATTCAGTGTTAATTCCTTTAATTATTCCAAATTTAACTTCTGTTGAAGTTTGCAATTATTCTTATTATCATTCTTGGACTAATAATTGGTTTGAAACTCGATAATATGTTTGATGTGTTACTCTAAACTGTCTGTAGATTAAATATATTTTATTTGTAGTTGAACTCTTAGATGAAATGCTTGCACGTGACACTTAATTTTATTTTCGTGTTAGGAATTTTTAATAAAGTACGACTTTTTGATTTATAAACTCGCTTTGTTTATTGTTTAAATTTGCTGTATTTCTTTTCAGAACACCTAATTTTGTAAACCTAAAATGCAACACCATGTTCTTGGAAAACCTAAATGCAGAGTTATTTCAATGTTGAAGACATTGCTATGAATTAATAAACTTTATCGAAACGTTGTACATTTGCTGTTATGTTAAACTTATATTAAAGTTTTTCTTCATTACCCATTCAAGCCGTCTCCAGCCATTATTAGTCTCAAAGTGGGTTCCTCGTCATCGAATTAGCAGCAGACGATAATTTCAGCACAATTAACCACTGGAGGGCGCTGCAGTAGATTCCCCATCTGAACGCTTCAATAACGAATTCTGTCCACACACAAATGAATGACGACGGTTGAAGTAAATGGCCTTTAACAACACCGAATAGTGACGTGAGCTTTTACGGGGCGTCTTGAAAGGTTTGATTAATGCTGCGGTTTAGTAAATACATCTAAATTTCTTTTTACTGTGTTACACTATAGACTGCTAAGTTGTAGAAGTGTTTTTCAAGCTGTTCAACTTGTTTTCAAGCTGTGTACATGAGACATTCAGTTGTCTTCTTTGGGTCATGGTACCTTCATAACTGCCTGTTAAAAAACCCATGACAACAGTCTTTTTCATATTCTTACGATAGCAAATTGTACAATTCTGAACCCTCTACTCTCAGTATCGTAAGAAGTATATTATATGTAGATTTTTGGTTAAAAACACTCTGCCGTGAAATTATTTTCCATGGCTTCAAGCAAAGACAAAGTTCTCCGTGAAAAGCTGAAGAGATCGGGGTCGCTGATGATGAAAGACCCTCCAGCGATTACTGCTGTCAACGGAGACAGAGTGTTTCAGCTCAAGGAACTCAACATTATTAAAACAATAGGTAAGTTGTCTTGAGTATTAATATGGTACCTAAAACTTAATCTCGAAATCTTTATCCGCAATCTATGACTTATAATTTCAGCTAGTCAATATTTGTATTCATGACAATGTTATTAAGATTATTAGCTACCATCCCTAATTTTGAACTACTGACCAGTCAGCAGCAACCCACCACCCACCATTCACGCTATAGTTTTTGATATAGGACTGATTCGAACCCATCTTGTGCTCTACTACAGGGCGATTTCGCGCCCTAGCTATTTAGAGTTCTAAACTTTAACATCAGTATTCCTTGGTATGCAGGGATTTGAGAAATAAATAAAATTACTCTCATATTCAACAAGGTTTTTCAGAAGCATCAGAATGTATTTAATATTTCTAATAAAGAAATTTATCAAATTGCGAATTATTATTAATTATTAAGCACCTCGAAAGCTTGAAAGTTGAGTTAAAACGTGTTAATTATATTCATTAATTAACGCTTTATTCGGTGTTTTTCTAGGTTATAATTTTACGAAGGATTACGTAGTTCTTTCTTATATGGTTAACACATCTCACATTTAGAAATGTGTATAATCAGGCGTTGACTGGTTCGCCGGGACACCGAAAGAAATCCCGGTGAGCCCCCTTTGAAAAGTACGTAAAAAAGTAGATTAATGCTCTGTTAGCACAATAATGAAATAATTATTTGTCTATTGCTATCACATTAGCATTTATATTAACATGTGTGTTAATTCTACCAAAACTGATGTGCATCAAAAAATGATTTACTTGACAATATTAATGTTAAAGACGTTATCTCCTACCTGGTGATGGGCTCCTCTGTGTTTTCAAAATTATAGACCGCGTGAACTATGTATGACTAGTGTTTTAACATTTGATTACATATACTTATTAAGTATGTATTTTTGTTATTCTTATGACAACTTTGAGGCTCTCTTTAGCTTTATTCCAGGTAGAAATCTAGAGTCCAGTCCGCCCCTGAGTAAAATGTTAAGTTTATGAAACAGAACTTGAAGAGTGCTGTTACCATTTCATGCAGATTCTCTGTTAAGCTTTTATTAAACTGTATTTATTTGCAACTTTGTAAATATTTTTTTAAAATCGAATTAAAGCAAAGTTTGCCAAAATATACAACATTTCTAGAAGATAATGGCCGAAACATTAATACTTTTACCCTATTTTTTTTCAACAACCCATTGATAATGTTGGGATAATCAACTTATTTTCATAAATGAAATGCAGTGGCAGGCTAAACAACCATAAGTAAAACACTTGTTTGAGAGTAATATCTACTTAAATAAACTAAAATTTTTCTTTCCAACAGATTTAGACCTTGCCAATTAGTTTCAACGATAATACAAGTTTTTCTCGCATGAGTTTTGATAGAAATAATAGAAACTCAACATTAATGTCGAACAATGTTTCAGCTTTACTGGTTAAACATTTAACTAATATCTATATTAAATATATTGAGTCCATATAAAAAGTAGAAGCTTTTTCTATTTATCTTTTCGAACTATTTCATCAAATTAATGTGAAATAAACTGATTTATATAATATATTTAGACTTTTAAATACGTGACAGTAGGAAAATTAACATTTTCTTATCAGGGATCAAACATAAGGGTCTGTGGTAACTGGTCATGTATTTTAACTGCAATAAAACTCCATCATGACTATTTGAAAGGATCGATGTTTTTCTTTCTATTAGCGCTTTACAAATAAAGAACATTAAGTTTGTTTGTTTGTTTTGGAATTTCGCGCAAAGCTACACGAGGGCTATCTGCGCTAGCCGTCCCTAATTTAGCA